ACCTTCCATATACTTGTCCCAGGCGAAATAATAACATACTAGTGCACGAAAGGGATTCCAAAAGCGATGGGGAAATAATTTGACAGATTATTAAGAAAATAATTTGTCAAAAAATCATTAAAGCTCACAGAGAAAGTAACAGCCAATGGCGGATAAAGACATGCCTTGGAGAGTTACTTCTAACTTGGGAGGGAAATGACAATAAAAGAAATACCAACCAAAAGACATAATAAAGATAAACTCAAACTACATAAAAGACATACATAATAGGTTTTCTTTCATTTTGGACTTTCTTGGTGGGGGAACTTCGCTTTTTTCACCGCCCGTGTATCAGCCCCTGGTAACAGCAATGGTACCTAATCAAAATAACAAACTAGTTATACAAACTTTATACCACAACATAATAAAGATAGGTTGGACAGTTGGACTAAAATATATCTCAGAATAGGTGTGAACAGCATTAAGACAAAGACAAAAACAAGTTGACTAGGAGGTTTGTTTAATAAAATAATTATTTGTAGGTGGAACGACTAACAGATGAAGGGAGAAGCAGTATCTCGTTACCTGTTTACAAAATCAAATAAGATGTTTAATGATTTACATTGTGGATGACTGTAAAACTGATTGGCCATATCTTTATAATAGGAAAATAGTAATTGATGCACATGTGTGCTAGAAAGCTAATTATCCAAAACCACTTTGAATTTGGGCGAGGCGTATCAACAAATGACGCAATTTTTATTATAAGACAGCTAATCAAAAAATATAGGAATCGGAACTTAACAGTATTAATGAACCAATTTACCGCATTTATTGTTACCTAGCTTTACCACGGCACACAAACATGATGTTGTAGATAATTGTATCAAAACTCTTTCGATTTTTTTCGTATAGAGCTCCTTGAATCATCATTGATGATTACTAGATTAGTTCTTTGCTATACATAAGATTTTGTCGAAAATGCAATGTCTGTTGCTCGCTGGTACAAAAACTCAAATTTACAGCATAGGTACTATGACATGTTCCAAGTAACATAATCGCAATTTTATTTAGGGGATGATATGACAGTAATTGAGTATAAAGAGGAAAGCGAACAAAAAAAAAACGCATAAGAATTTTTAAAACCAGAAGTATCAAAATGAAAAAATAACAGCAAAACAATTGTCAATTAATATTAAATGTATTTTATAATATTGTAAATCTTATTGTGGTTTGTAAATTTTAAAATGGATCGAGGTAAGTCAATGAGAAAATTTGGTCATTCATTATTAAATCTTTTAATTCTGGAAAATTCAATTCAAAACTCACAAATGTAGTGATTGAGATAAAATCTAGAAATTTAGGAAAAAGTAAAATAACCGAAGCAGATTGATGGGCATTAAAACGAATTATATTGAAAATTGCCGTACAACTTACGTAGAGTAAAGTGTTTTGGAGAAGTAATTAGATACTTCCAAAGTAAGTTATATTGTTGAAAAAATCAGTAATAATTGATTTTGAAAAAGTGACGTAAAATCTATTTTTAACATTACAAGAATGTAAGAAGAAAAATAGTTTCAAATAGCCAAAAGAGCATAAAATTAAACACATTCACAATGAAGTCTGAGTATGAGTCCATATTTAAGATGTGTATTGGAGACAGTAGGAATCGCGGCGGGAAAAATGAAGCTTTTCATCCCGACTGCGTCGAGAGCAAAGTCAAATTTCCTGCGTCTGTCATGATCTGCGGCAGTACATCGTCATCGTGGTGAGTAAGTTGCATTTTATCGATGGAATTGTAAATACTAAGAAATATTTTAAGATTTTAGAAGAATCTGTTTTACCGATTATGGAGTAAAGTGTAGACTGTGTGTGAAGTGTATTATTGTAGACCATGGTATACCACTTTGGAAGTGGTATCATGAGTCCCGATTGGTCTCCGATGGAAAGTTTGTGGCACGAAATAAAAAAAAATGTTGAGAAGATATCTTAACAGGTTAGGTTAGGTGAATCAATGAATTGAAATAAAAATTACAAGATAGATGATATTTAGTTACGTCAAAATTTGGACAGAACTTGGTAAAAACTAAGCCTTGAAGAATTTTGAATGCAACCCTCTAATCGTTATAAGTCTGTAGACGCTGTTCATTTTTGTCTAGTTAAATCAACAATTGTCAGTATGTGTAGCTTGAATCGTTTTGTTTGTTTTCAAACAAACTTGCAGTTATATACTGATACGAGTTTAAACCCTTTCTGCCGTGCTGTTTAGCACTGACAAGAATTCATTTGCTGCAATACGTGAGAATAGGATATATAAATTATTACAATCTAATAAGCATTTTCATATAACAGAAAAAGTGGTTTCTAGTCTCTATATTTTCCTGAAAATTTTACACTAACTATATATTAATATACATTTGTGTTATATGTTGCTTATTAGTTACAGAAAAATAAATAAGCTACGATAATTTTTAGCATTATAATTAATGACATTTACAGGCGGTAATAACGGTTTATTTCAACTTTTTTTGGAAGGAAAATATATGTTTTTAATTGTAAATATATTTTTGCCGCCTCTTCTGTTCTGTGAGATATAATGCTAATGTCATCGGCATAGGCGGCGACTAATACTGTTACAGATTTGAAATTTACAATTAAGCCAGTGATAATATCATCATACCAGAAAATTCGGATCTTTATTCATCGGCAACTATTTGAGTCAATCGAATTGGTAACTATACATTACCAGTTAATAAAGATAAGCCACTAGCCAAAAAACAAAGGGTATATACTATGACATACTTATGGTATTGACCTAAGTACTGTGCGTTGAAAATATACAAAAAATGTACGATTAGCTTACACTTATGTAGAATAGCAGATAGGGATGGCGGTTTTTGACAAAACACCGGTTTTCAGTTATACCGGTTTTTTTTTACTTTACGTTTATAAACCTGGCGGTTTTGTCAAAAACCGGTTTTCGGTTTTTTAATCTAGTAGGTTACAAAGTTACAGGGTACAATTTACAGTGCACTTTAGTTTGCGATATTTATTTATAAAATAAAATAAAATTTGAATTATGGTTTTGTTTGGAATAATTACTTGAGGATAATAATTATGATTGGGATCCAAAATAATACATAACGTAATCCTAATCAAGGTAAAATCCTAATAACCGGATTTTACTATAAAAATAAAAAACCGGTTTTAACCGGGACAAAAAACCCAACCTTTAAAACCGGTTATTGCGAAGTAAAAAAACCGGTTTTCGGTTAAAACCGGTAGGTTTTTCCCATCCCTAATAGCAACCATTCAAAAGGGCACTTTCTCAACAATATACAAACAAAAGAGTTTGTTATGACAGAAAAAAGCGGAGCACTGATGTGGCTTGTCCACAGATAAACAAAGAATACAAAATTCATATGGGTGGTGTTGATTGTATAGATCGCCTAACTGTAATCCGAATTCTTGTTTACATCAGAAAAAACTTATGTTTTAACTATAATACTAATACATGGGTAAAACATTTAAAGGGTTTTTACTAACGTATTTAGTGGCTCAAAACATGTACATCCAGTAATTATTAACCACATTTTTGTACTAACCTTGGTCAAAATTTTTAATTTCATGTTTGCTTTAATTAAAGTGGTTATACTTTTAGGATAGCACTGATGATGGAATATTAATTACCAAAACGTTTTGTGATGTAGCCCGATAGGGTTTTTTAATATAATACTTTTTATAAAGGAATCTGAAAATAATTTTTTTAGTTAATATATTCAAAGTATACCTATTATTATTTTCTAAACCTAAACCGTTATAACCGTCTAGAGACCAAGCCTCACCTGAAAGCCAAACTATGAAAGCTATTAAAAATGAACTTTTATTTTTATATTACCCACATTACTCTAACTAGAAATTTTAAGATATTTTGAAATAATTAAGAAAAAAACGGTTAGAGAGTTACATTGTTTTTATTTCTGTTTTCAAAGTATGGTTTTCAGATGCATATAGTACCTAACATTAAATATTTTTACTATATAATTATTTAGATACTGATATGGGTAAATGATATTTAAAAATTATTGATTAGAATCTTACTATAAATGTGTATTATTAGAGTATAAATGATTAAATATAAAAGATTCAGGCAAACAAATAACGTCAGAGCTTATTAATCAGTTTAGTCGTGTTGGATAGTTAGTTAATTAAACATTATCAAATAATATCTCAATAGTTTTAGTAATTTCCTAAATTTAATATTTAAACTAATATAAATAAGAACAGCAGAAGAGATTTAAGATTATGTAAGCGACTCTGCTTGGAATCTAAGGAACTAATACAGGCAGTTAGTGACTAAAAAGTTGAAGTAATCCTTTTAATTACAAATAGCTTTTGTAAATCGTAACTCAAGCCGAATTTCTAATAAAAAGGCAAGTAATGCATCAATGCAAGTTACGAAAGCATCGAAAATTAATTAAGTCAAATAAACATAAATATAAATAACTGATTTACATTTCCGGAGTTTAAATATAACTTTTGTAAATATTTTGGTAGCATTTAATAGAATTTTTTTGTTGAAGGTTCGTAGATACATCGATAAAATTTGAGTTTATTTTTTAAATAACAATAAATTTCATGAAATAAATTTTATCACAGAATATACCTACATATAACGAATAAATAGAAAAATTTTACAATAGATATAATGTAACGGAACATTATTTTCGAAGTTTATAGATAGTGGCTAAATATTATTTATCTCTGAAATTTCTTCTGTAACTGCGACAGATATTATCAAAGGTGATACGGCAAAGGTCATAATATTCTAATTGTTTACTTATTTTTAATAACAGCTGCCAGATCTGTAGAGGAAACGTCAGAAAGAAGTAATTCCAGACGATGGCCTATCAACTTTTACAAAAATGTACCATTACAAAACATTGACCGCAAAACAGTAGGTACATGCAAAACAGGTACATATCTCTACTTAAATGGAGCAAAGATTATTATTTACTTACTTGTGGGGATCGTCTAGTAAAATCTTCGTCCGAGAGGGTAATTAGTGTTGCTCCCGACATATCCCATTGTTCCGAGACTGGTTCCTGCAGATTAAACTGTCTGGAAGTCCACCTAATCCATGATAACACACTGGCTGAATCCCACTGTGAAGGATCTGCAACAAAGAGTTGTTGATTTATACTATGCTTTATAAAATCATAAGTTAATAAAAATAGTTTTTTTATTTATTATAATTACTTTTATAAGCTACTGTATTATCTGAGTAATTAACGGTCTGCTCTCTGATTGAGATATCAAAAAAATGGCATACCTCAAGGCTCGGTAATCAGCCCATAACATCAATGAATAAACCCATTTAAGCAAGAATATACGCGCATCATCTCATAATACTTTTAAAAGTAAACAATATACAGAGTATTACCAAATTACTACAAGATTAACTTATTTAAATAGCATGGTCTATAAGTAGTGGTTTTTATTGGCTTCATCTAAAACTAGCTGCATCATATTCTCAAAGAGACTATATTTTTAAAGAGGCCAAAGTAGACAAAGAAATACCTAATTTAAAACTTGGGGTCAGACACTTTAATAATATGTAAAAACAATTAAATATCTAGGTTTAACAAATGATCAATATATAATATGTAAAAACCACTCAAATATATTTTAGCAGGATATTAAAAAAGACTAAACCCTTTGAAATGTGTTTCTGGTACGAACTGGAGAGCGGACAGTAAAACTGTACTCACATTATATAGAAATCTGATCCACTTCACTATTGATTATGGATGCCATGTTTGCTCGTCTGATTTAGCAACAACTCTAAAAGTTTAAGAAACCATTCAAATTTTGACTCCTAGAAATGCGGTAAATTTAAAACGACCCCTACCATAATTCTTAAGACCGAACTCGGTGAACTACCATTAGACTTAAGAAGACAGAAATTAATACTCTCATATGCAGCGAAGCGGTACCTACTCTTTACAGTCACTAAATTATTAGCTCCTTGAAATCTATCCTAGCAAGGTGTCAACTCCCCCTCCCTGCCCAATATCTTCTCCTTACATAAATTTGTACGTATTTTCAGAAATTTAGAATTGCATCCAATTGTCCTTTAATTAATTTTAAATATCAAATCTTAATTCTCAATTTTCCTCCTTCAAACAGTTATTCACCGGTGGATCTAAGACGGAACATTCTGTAGCATCTGCTTTTGTAACAAAGGGTGAAATAAAGAAATATAATCTAAAGAAGACTAATACTATCTTAAGAGGACAACTCTTAGCAATATATAAAGCCATATGTGACGTTACAAAAAAGCCTGAAATTAACTTCCTAATAATAAATTCCTAATAATTATACACTAATTTCTCTAGAAATCATCTCTAAAATATATTTTTTCTATCCTGTGGCCAAACTCATTAGACAAGAATTGCACAATCTAAATTACATAAACACTGCTTTCCTGTGGGTACCATCTCATATTGGAATCATACGAGAAGCCTTACAGGACCTAATTATTGAGTTCTATCCAAAAACTCAAGCTATAGATCTCAAATTAAGTTTCCACAGCCAAATAGTTAAAATATGGAATAGCAAATTGCACAAGGGACATGCAGAATTACTGAAGATAACTCAAACATTTCAACCATGGTCTGATAGTTACAGCAATAATTTTTTTCAGGTGGTCAGCACGCGACTGCGGCTTGATTATAGTCGCCTTACGTATGGACATCTGATGACAAAGACAAAAGTTCCCCAACTGGAATGTTATGCTTGCGAGACCCTGCTAGCAATAAAACATCTTCTAGTGGAGTGCCTGTTACGCAGTGCGGACAGAGGAGTATTTGAAATCCCAGAGGATTTGAACGAACTGTTCTTAAAGTACGGTACCAAAGTAATTATTCAATATTTAAATGCAATAAACTATTTATACAAAATTTGATTGTTGTACTATTCTATAGCGGTTAATATGTTATGTTAATACGTTTTTTTTTCTAATAGCCATATAGGCTAATGCGAGTTTGTAAATAAAAGAAGAGGTAACTAATTTTAATTCATTTATACCTTCCCATATGAAATCTTTGGCTTCAGATATTCATAGCAAGTGGAGCTAACAATTGTAAATCATTAGTTAAAGCATGGGACGCAAAAGATATCCGGAAAGAATATAAGAATATATTCGATCAGTTACATGAAGATGATTTAGCAATAAAACGAAATACTAAAATATATCCAGAAGACCTGTATAATATTTTTAGAATAATTAATTTTTAAATATCCAGAAAGTTAGAGAACATTTTTAATATATTCATTATTGTCTAATCATCTATTTCTCCTCTACGCCACATAAAGTTCCATGTACTTGTAGTATGTTAAGTTTATCCGTTGATCTTTTTTATCGTTAAATTAACAATATGAAGTTAGCACTTCCAAAAATGTAAAGGATTTAGGATTCCACCAGTGTCAAATATTTAACAACCACGAATATTGTATTTTTTCAGGTCACATCTTGCCCTTTTTTATGTTATAATATGATTCAGTATGGAATGTAGCTAACCTCTTTTCTTTTTCAGGTGCACTCCATTACTGGAGATTTGCGATCACCACATTAAAATGTTCTCTATTTTGTCACGTCACTCTTAATAATTGTTAAACATTTATGACCGTCCAAGTTCTGATGTTGCGAAGCACTGATCTGATGAAAATGATCTAATCTTTGTTTGATTTTCCATATGGACATATGGCTCAAGTTAAAATCTGCAACGACTTGTCTTAGTGACCTTCCTTCCTCGAGTTTGGAAATTGGCTCTTTTTTTGAGAATCTTTCAAATGCATTCTAGGCATTTTAGATGCATTTAATAGCTTTTTATTTTATTTTTCAATACGCGTGAAATATTTGACAAGCCCTTTGACATTTGGCAAATCCATATGAAACTGTAGATTTACGTAGCTCCACATCTTCTCAGCCGGTTTGTGTTTTTAGTTCTATATCTGCATCATACTTCATTTAATACTCCTCCTAAATATCTGATTTTGTGAACTTGTTCTAATTGAGTAATATTTAGGCCAATGCGACAATGTTCCTCGATTTTGCTAATTACCATTTCTTAGACTACATTATAAGGCGCTCCCTAACTTTCGCGTGATTGGTTGGTGGGTGGGTCCCAATTTAAAAATTGGCGGGTTTCATTTGTTTCATGTTTATTAAAATGACAATTGAGGTATTGTGGCACAGTATATCGCTAAACAATTTATTAGCAATATATTGTGGTATTTGTACAAAGCGGATGATATTCACACTTTAGGATTAAGCTGACTAGTACAGTTTTATTAGAAATTAAAATTTATTTTTCTTTTGACATTATGTAGGTAAAATTAAATTCAGACATTGTGTTTATTTAATTTTGATATGCTAGTGATGCTTTTTTTTTATTAGATATATAGATATTGTTTTAATTTTTTTGTTTAGGTAATTTTTTATTAAGATTCCTTTATTAAGATTATTAAGAAAGAGGTTCCTCTTATTATTTTTACTTCTAGAACATTCATTACCATAATTATTCTCATTAGCTTTCTCTATGTGGAATCGACATCTCTAAATATTTTCCTCTAAACTTTTCTGTTCTCTTCCAGGGACTTAGTACCTCTCCGCTTTTTGTATGAGATTATGGTTTTTCAGAAACTTGTAATTTCTGTTTATCCCCTTTTTTACTGCCCTACATTCAGTACCATACATCATAGCTGGTCTAAAGGCAGTCCTATACAATTTACCTTTTAGTTTTCTTAGTACCTTTTTTATCATACATCACTCAATTTGCCTCTTTCCTTTACCTCTAATTGAAACATTAGAGATAAAACGGTAATACTAATCTTAAAAGTCGAACATTATCATCTTTTATGAGTTCTTGTCTATCCAAGCCAACTACTCTATCTGGTCTTGAAATTTCATCTTTAAAAGAATATTCTAAATATTTTGTTTGTATCCAACTTAATTTTAATCATTTTTCTTCAAGGGCCTGTCTTCGCTACTCTTTTCTACTAATACCCAGGAGGTTCAGTTGTTATCTAATCCAGCACAAATGAGAATAAATATGGGCGAAAACCTGATTTTCACCCATTTTCACACAAAATTTGCCAGTTTCACCTGTAATCGTTCCAACACTATAATAGTTGTTTTAACACTATTATAGTTGTTACTTGCTCATACTCCACTCACATATTCAGCCGGCACTCCTTTCCTACTTAATCTCTGCCACAGTAGGTTTCTGATATCTTCATCATGTGCTTTCTCAAGTTTAATAATACAATGTAAATTCACTCTAAATTGTTAAATTAGCTCTTTTAATAAAAATTGCTTGTTGTAGACCTGCCTTGCCTAAATCCAAATTGACATTTATCCATTTTCATTTTTTAGAACCTTACACTGAATTCTGTTAGATTTTACCACAAATGTAGGATAATAAAAAGATATATTGTGAATTGAGTGCTATGAAAAATTGTCATTGTCAACAAAATGAAGCAGAGGTTTACTGGAAATAACAATTGCAAACCAAAAAAAATACTAAATAGCTATATCTAAAATGTCTTTATTCTTTATTAAAAATCTGGGAAATCAAAGGAGGGGGGGGCCGTTATTGGTGCAATGGCGAAGGAAAATCCGTCTAAAGCTCTCCTAAATTGTATAGTACTGCCTTTAGACCAGCGATGATGTATGGTACTGAATGTAGGGCAGTAAAAAAGGGGATGAACAGAAATTACATGTTTATGAAAAACCATAATCTCATACAAAAAGCGGAGAGGTACTTAGTCCCTGGAAGAGAACCGAAAAGTTTAGAGGAAAATACTTAGAGACGCCGATTCCACATAGAGAAAACTAATGAGAATAATAATGGTAACGAATGTTCTAGAAATCAAAATAATAAGAGGAACCTCTAAATCTTAATAAAAAATTACCTAAACAAAAAAATTAAAACAATATCTATACATCTAATAAAAAAATGCATCACTAGCATATCAAAATTAAATAAACACAATGTAAGAATTTAATTTTACCTACATAATGTCCAAAGAAAAATAAATTTTAATTTCTAATAAAACTGTACTAGTCAGCTTAATCCTAAAATGTGAATATAATCTGCTTTGTACCAATAC